TGGCTCCTCGGCCAGCTTCTCCCTCTTGTCTTTGTGCTTCCTCTTTGAGCACTACACCAATGGTGTAGAAGTTAAGACACAGACTCAGAATAGGAGACCCAGGTTTGCTTCCTGTGTCTGTCAGTTTTTAACTGTGTGGCCGTGGGCAAGTCATTGCTCCTCTTGGAACTCAGTTTCTTCATCTTTATTAAAAAAAAAAAAGATACACACATTTTAAAACATATTTTTAAACGTGCCTTATTTTCTGAACTTTCAAATCTTAACAACTTGCTTTTCCAAAACCTTCCCGGAATCCCTGTATGAATCAACAAGCTTTAGTTCTTAACACATTTCTCCTTCTTTAAAATAGTGTCATATCTTTCCTCATGAAGTTGTTGTGAAGCATAAATAAGCACCCAGTACCATGTTTGAGACATGATCAGCCCCCAAAATAGGGCTGCTGCTCTTCTTGCTGCCACCACCCTGCAACTGTGGTTATTGATTTATTAATATCCTCTCACCATCATCAGCATTGATTGTAAGTGGTACCATAATAATCTGCCAAAAATGTTACTTGACCCTGTGAAATTGGCACTTTATAAAAAGGAAGCGCAAGACTGGAGGGGCTTCCTGGCATGAAGTTTATTGAACTGTAGGCCACAAGATTCTTCCTCGCCTGTTCCTTTTTCCTCTGTCTTGTTTCCTCTTCCTCTATCTTGTTTCCTTTCCCACCCTTTTCCACTGAATGGGTAAATGTTTGTGTCTCCCAGGAGCCAGGTAAGGCACACTCTCCATGCTGTCATTTGAAGGTCATGTGCATGCCAAGGTGGTGTTACCTGTACCATCTTTACTCTGCTGGGGCCAATCCCTAGGTCCTTAAGAAGAAAAAGGGCCTTATTGCCTATGGTTTCTCTTTCATTGCTAGTTGTCACTCCTCGGTCTCGAATGTCACTAGGATGCATCCATTTTGAAGTTTTAGTTATTGTTAATAACCATAATGGCTTCCATTATTTTAAGGTCCCATACATCTACAATTTGACGGATGATTAAAGTCAGATTCAGAGAGGTGAGATGATTTTGAATAACATCACACGGCTGATGACTAGCAGGCAGGGCTCTGAACTCAGATTTTTTTAATGTCCAAATCCAATGACCTTGTTTATTATATCATGCCTTAACAATATTCCTTTGTGTTTAATATAGTGTATTAGAGCTGTCAACAGAGGAACCTGAGGCTGATAGGCTATAAGGGACTAATTCCAGGCCACATAGCTAAGGGGAAGAGTAGGTCTTTATGTCCAGATCTGGATTCCAAGACAAGTCATTTTCTCTTTATGCGTTTCTTTTTGAGATGTTACATTCTTTATGCTGCCATCTCTATGCCAGAAATCTTGAGAGCTTCCTCCTAATTATCAAGGTTTGGAGAAAAAGTTATCACATGCTTCTGCACGATATAACACCTCTCCACAGGCAGTGTTTTCTGAGAATCAGGAGATAGACTCATTTTGCATCTTAGGTCTCTTTTTGTATTGGCTTCTATCCAGGTGTAACCCACATTCAAATCAAAGCCAACACGGCCAAACTCTATCACTTTTCTCTGTTTTACAGCACTCTGTTTCACTAACTCATGTGTATACATGTGTGGATACGTGTCTCAATGTATTTTTTTTGAGAGAAGTCCAGGGAGCAAATAGAGGGAAATGAAATCCCATAATTGCGAATTTCACTTCTGGAAAATAGAGCAGTTCTTACCCTTACATTTGTTTTTTAAATACATATTTTCTTATCTTCTTTCTTTTTGGGGGGAAACAATATTGAAATAGAATCCTGTTCTGTGTTTGACACTGAAGCTGTTTCCATCAGTCCAACCAATGTGACGCTAACATGGAAAAACAATGACTCAGCTGCTTCTAATGACAAGTATAAAGTGAAGAATGAGATGGAAAATGGGTAAACAATTCTTATTGCAAATCAAACAAAGGATAACAACACAGGCTTAAGTTCAGCAACTTTACATCCACCCTCCATCACTCCGGAATAGTCAACAGCACTAAGGTGGTGTTATCTGTACCAACAGTTAGAGGTATGGAGATTACATGGGCATAAGTGTTACAACAGGTAAAATGACCAGCTCCTAGGAATTATCATGAACCATTCCTTCTTGTCCTGTATCCTAGAGCCTGGTCCTTTCAAGCCTATTGGAAAGAGATTGGTTTTCATTAACTGTGGAAGAGGAAAAAAGATTCTGTATTGTTTCAAGCCCAGGAGTTCAGGTGGCTGGATCATTCAGTATTAAGGTCTTATGTGTTTTGAGGTATTTTACCTATTTCCAACTGCCCAGTTTTAAAAATATTTTGTTATTATTGGTTAATACTTATTTTTCAGCTAAGACTTTGTAGCAGAGACCCCATTAGGATTGTGTCTCAATGGTGTCAGTAATTACTAGGCTTCTTTTAAGTTCCCCAGGGAAGCTGATGCTGCGTTTATGTCCCCAGGAGTTTCTGTTAGGAATTAAATTTTGTCATACTTTGTAGAGGAATGTGTGTTTCAAATGAAATAGGAGTCCAGTGACATTTGATTTATTTCAATTTTTATTTAGCTTAGATCTCAATGCCCTGAGCCACCTGTTATAGCTGCAAATTTACCTCTTTTTTTAAGCTGAAAAGAACCAAAAATATAAAAAAAGAGATGAGAAGCTCTTTTTCAGCTAAGAGGAATGAAAAATTTAAAAAAGAGGTCCTCTATTAGTTTTTTGATCTAGAGCTGTGATCTCATTGGCTGGTGAAGGCCATAGAAGCCTGACCTCTTGGAGCCCAGGGGTTGAAGGTACCACTTAGTGCAGCACCTTCTGCACACAGAGCAGGAAAACACTAGACCAGTGGTTTTCAACATTTCCTTTTAGCCTGGAAACTATTTCTTTAAATAAAATCTTGCCTGGCTGAATAATTAAAAAGAACTGGAGAGAGAGGAGCTACAGGGATGGAGTGTCACAGGTACATTCAAAAAAACCTCCCGGCTCCTCAGAGCACGATTTTAGAGGGGAAAAAAACACACACACACAATAAAGATTTGCTGTATTATATTGTGAAAGAGAGAGGAAAAGAAGGAGAGGACACAGACAAGATAGAAGGGAATTAAAGAGAAAAAAAGAAGACAGAATTTAGAAATGGTGATGAAGATAAGGTGATATAAAATTGGTGACTATAAGAAAGAGAAGGTGGAGTGGAGGCAGGAAGCAGCATCCTAGGAGCTGAGTATCCTTCCTCCAGCTTAAATCCTCTGAGCACAGGGCTGGATTCATCAGCTAATATTTATGGAGCATGCATTCTGTGCTTAGCAGTCCCAAACCATTATTTTGTTCTCACAGCAACCCTGAGGGCTACAGGGGAAGAAACTGTAATGCTGAGAAGATAAGCTTCTTCTGAGGTCCCAGAGGTAGTGAGCATCAAGTGGTGGAAACCCAGGGAGCCTGATTGCCAACTACCATGGTACAATGATATTTGTAACGGTGACCCAGAGTCATTGACCTGGCTAGTTTATTGGTGTTACATTTCTTTAAAAAAAAATATGACACATGAGTGACCCAATTTAAAATCTTTGCATTAAACACGTTTGATATGAAGGAAGAATGGAATCACAGAGTTGATCAAATCGCTTCAGAGCTGGACGATTCCTTACAGTCACCTAGGTTGGTATCTAGGAGTTCAGGCACCTGCAGATGTCAGGCAGGGTTGTTGCTCTATCTGCAACACCACCTGGGCTTTGTTTACTTAAACCTGGAGCCCTGGGTTCTAGTTCCCCCAATGACACCGGTAGTATGCATTCTTGAGCAAGTCACTCGACCTCTCTGTATCTTCATGTTCTCATGTCAAGAATGAAGGGAGTGGATGTCATTTTGGCTGACATAGTTTGACTTATGTCACTGACAGCCAAATAAGGTGATGGAAAGAACAGTGGAGGAAAGTATAGGTTGGATGTCTTCTGAAAAATCCCCTTGGGTTGGAACACAAGGACTAGTTCCTTAGTTGAAATGTGTTGGTACTATGAAATGATACTGTTTGTATTATTTTGAATGAAGATCTTTAGATGTAGCAAACAACCACTTTATTTGATGCTTTGTTCCCGATGTCTAAAACAAATATAATTAAATGCTGCTGTTTAAAAGTGACAATTTAGAAGACTGTCAAATCACTGTTGGAGTTAACAGTCTTAGAGAATAGTACAGATCCTAAAACATTTTGGCTTTAAGGTTTATTCTTTTCTCCTCCTTCCTGCATAATCATGTGCTTTTTTCCTGTTATAAAATGATGGGATTGCACTGGACTCTTGATCTAAAGGAAGGATTTTTAGTGGGTCACATTAAAACATCAATTACTGCAGTCATTCTTAATGAAAGATGCCTACAAATATCTTGTCCTATCAATGCATATTGTGTGTTTTAAAAATGGAGCCTAGTCTAGTTTCTGGTCTTCACTTTGCCTTCCTGGATGTGATGCAAGGCCTCTTACAGGGAGGAATGATAATGACACTGTCACCTGCCAGATGCTCCTTGAACTCATTGGAAGCTGGAATGAGATACCTCAAGATTTAGCAGTCAATATTCCAGGGATGAAGCCAGAGATTCAATACAAGGTCACCTTGTATTTTTCAAAATCAAATGAGCACAGAGAGACCTCTTGGTTACAGAAAGTAGGTTAGGTGAGTTACAAAAGTGTGCCTCTCCTCTGCCTTGTGGTTTTGAATTTCAGTAACTTAACAGTTTTTTAAAATATTGTTTTTATATATGTATAGAGTTTTAGAATTTCTAGAGGGTTTATAGTTTGACCCCACGCCTTATTGAGGGAGGAGGGAAAATGTTCTTATTTTACAGGTCAGCACATTTGGTCTCAGACTGATAGTGGGAGTTGAAACTTTTTGGAGCCTGGAATCCAGGAAAGAATCCGGCCCCCTTAACTTTTTTAAAATTTCAGTTGAACAAATAACAGATGATTTACCCAAGTAGGGCCATTGGAGGAACTTACCAGATCCATGGAGAAAAGGGACGCTTAGCAGGCCAATTTAGCAGATGTCTTCTGCACTAACAGTAGAGTAGTCATTTACAGATTTCATAGCATTTTCAGAGGTAACCCTGCGAACTGAGAAGAACAAGTACTTAATTCACATCTTACACATAAGGAAACATGGCTACAAAATGGGTTTTAGGATTCTTGATCACAAATGAGGGAAACCAGACTTTGGATAGCTTCAACTAAAAGAGCAACTTATTGGCTCATGTATATTTCCCTGTTGTGGGCAGCAAAGCCTTGAAGAAAGAGACGAGGTGACTCTCTTCTCTTTCCTGCTTCTTTCTTTCTGTCAGCTTTGTTCTTAGAGTGGCTCCCTCCATACAACTCAAGGAGAAATGGCCACCAGAATTTCCCCTGTTTCACGCTCTATCAACCGGGATATGGTCCAGGGAAAAATTCCTTGAGTGGTTTCTGATTAGCCAAGTCTGAATCATGTGGCTGTCCCTGGAAGACCCCATTTTGAGTTGGGTGGGAGGAGACGATTTCCCAAAATATGGAGGAGAAAGTCGAATAGCTCAGTTTGAAAGACAAGCACAAATATCTGTGGTGCTACCTGGAATAAAAGTACAACGTGAAATGACTCAGGAGGATGTACCTCTGTTTAGGGGAGGAATGGAACAGATATTTGTGGAGTCCAACTGTGGATGTGTCATCTTATGGGAGGGAGAGCAGAAGAGCTGAAACAAGACAGGGATGTACTTCTGTTACAGTTAATGCCTTTGCCTATTGTGTTTGAAACAGATATCAACAAGACAGACAACTTTCCCCAATGACCCAGAAGACCCACTGCTCCTGTGATCAAATATCACCTAGAATCTGGAGAGCCATCCTCTGACCCAAGACAGGGAAGTCCTGCTATTTGGGTTAAAATCTAACACAAGGTACAAGGCCACTGTTTATTCTTAAGCAGCAGATGGCACCAAAGTACAGCCCCAGGCCATTAAGTTCAGGACAAGTATGTTGAATTTTGTAAAATGGCTTCAGTCAGAGTTTTCTAGCACAAAGTTTTGTCTTCTGTGATTCTGGTTCTGGGTTGTCTTTTGCTTCACAGGTACTTTTGTTGTAAGAGGGAATTTTCTGCAAGAGATTTTGGACAGAGCAGATCCAGTGAGTTTCTTCTTAATTCTTTAGCCAAGACACTTCTTTCATTCAGCTCAATAAGACATACTGAGCAGCTGCTCTGTGCAAACATTAGCTGCTGCCTCCTGTCTTTATTTCATATCTCTGCATTCTAGTCAATGGGGCAACACAATTACCAGCCAATGCATAATATTTTTTCTCTTATAAACAGAAATTCATTTTGTCAAGTTGCTTAAGTATTTTCCTCTTGAGATCAGAAAAGGAGGGTTTTTTTGGCCTGACCTTGGAATGCATACTAATCTTTCTATTGAAACTTGTTGATATGAACATTGCTGGTTTCTACCTATAATTTGTTAGCTCTCCCACTCTGTAAATTGACCAATATTTGGAGGCTTTTTGGATTGGTGCTGATGAGGGGGTAAAGCAGTGCACAGTTCTTACTATCAGGGACTTTCAGTATAGGTGGGGGATCGAGGAAGACATACATGGACAAGTACATGGTCAGGTCTGAGGTTTCAGGAACAAATGCTGCAGCGTCATAGCCCTCAGGGGCTTGGGTTAAAGCAGCATGAACTGATTCTGGTTATTTTAACCAAACTATCTCTATTGTGAAATGATGTCATAGATGCACAGAATGAGGGGAGTGGATGTGGGGCCTGGAGGACCAAAGTCAGAGACCAGATTAGCCTCCAGGAAGCTCTGCAGGCTGGTCCACCCTGGACCTGGTGATACTCCCTCAGGATGGAGAGGAGGTCACACCCCTGCTTTCTGGACAACTGAAAGGAGCCGCTGTCCCACCAGCTTCCACGTGAGTGGCAAGCACTTCCTCCCACCAAGGGTGACTGAGGTGCTGTTTGGAAGAGAGGGTTGTGTGCTTCACAGGTAACACATGGCCACCATCCGCTATAGCTGCCCACTAAGTGCTGTGGACATTGGAAGGCTAGAGCAGGATCTTAACATCAAATCCCCAGGGAGGGCCTCTTCTATAGGAAGGATTTGAACTTGCCTGGAAGGGAGGGCAGGATCTGGATAAATGGAGAGAAGGAAGAAGACGTTTCAGTTGAGGAAACATCATGAGTAAAGGTCCAGAGGATGAACACCGATGTCTGAGGTAAGGAGGCATTGGGACTTGGTGACATCTTGGCCTTGATAATTCTGGAAAGGTTTACTATTTCTTAGAGAGACATTGTTTGTATGCTTTGTGAGTTATTTCTCTTGTGTTCGGAGAGTGGAGGTGCATGCTGTAGACCACTTGGTAGCAATTACTGTCCAGGCTGTATTACTTTCATGGGGCTAGAAAATTTAGACAAGAAGCCTGTGACAAGTCATGTCTGTAAGGAATTGTTGCTTTTGTGTTATCCACATTTAAGAAAGATCCACTTGTGTCCTCTTTCCTTCTTTCCTCTTTCACTGGTGATGTTAATGTGTGGGTGGGGGAGGGGAGGATGCAACTGTAGGAAAGGCCACTTGGCCGCATGGGGCCCTGTTCCCCAGCAGTTTGGTAGGTGGGAGGTTCCCAGGTGAGGACAGCTTGGTGTCTAGTATATGGCTACGGTGTGAGGAGGAGGAGGAAGAGGAAAGGGCTCCTCCAGATGTGCCATTGACAGTGGTGGGGCTGTCCTACACAGATGCTTGTGCAGGAGGGTGAATGTGCCTGAAATCTAGCCTGTGGGCTCCTCACCAAGCCATGCATCCCTGGGCTGGGTCCTTCCAGAGGAGGGCCTTTTGACTGATTTGCTAAAATGGATCATGTGGATTAGTGAGGGCCTTGGGTTCCCTATATTTTAAAGCAGCTTGAGCAGAATTAAAGTAGTAGTGATTGCATCTTAGGTTCTTGGTCGTTTGGGTGCATACACAGACTGGTTTGTGTTTAACTGTCTTCGTACTTGATAAATAATAATTACAGTAGTGTTAACCTTCTCTATTTGGTTTGCATATGTGTAGGGGATAGACCCCACATAATACATACATGTGCATACACATGCATGCACATACATGTATCATATCAGGCATTTTTCAAGTGACTAGTTAGGTGGGATGGGGTTAAGGGAACCATCAGAGGATGTTGAGACACCTGAGACTAGTCATGGTAGAAGACTGCCTCTGAGGCTGAAGAGCAAGAGGGAGGAAGTGGTGTTTCTGGAGCCCACTGAGGGCTGGGGCAGTGGAGGATGCAGCCATGCCAGAACAGGCAGCCCAGAGAGAGGTGGAAGTGGGAGGAAGACTTCACTGCTTTCTGCTCCAGCCCCCCAGTAACCTGCCCATATTGCACATTGGCAATACCTGATCCCAGACCATCGGGCAGGGTCCTAACCTGTACCAAAGAAGCAACATTAAGGGGTCAGCCTCCTGGGGCACAGAGCAGTCGGGAAGAAGAACAGAGGATGGATTGAGAGGGTGAGGTGAGCAAGTGGCAAATAATTAGCACTCGTGTTATTTTTTCTTGAGGTGAGGATTGTTATCCCAATTTATAGGTGAGGGAACTGAGCTCAGGTGATTTTCCTAAGACCCACCTGGCTATTAAAGCAGAGCTAACCTTGGAACCCAGGCCTTCCTCATGCTAAAGTCTGTGATTTTTAATTGATTGCAAGGCATGGCATGTGAAAAGTCCATGTTTTCTTTGAGTAGTCCATTGTACCACTAAGAGTCAATTCACAAGAAGAACAAAGAGTAGCTATGTGGATGTAATTGTCCAGGTTGTTTCTTCCCCTAAGATGATGCCTGACTTTTGCTGGGACCCCAATACGTTTGTGTTTGTTGTGGTTGTGGTTAAATGGTGTAGAATAGGAAGGGATAATTTCCAAGAGTATTTCTTAGATTTTATGACATACCCAGATGATAGCTTCTCTCTCTCCTTCCGTGGCTTGGTCATTCTGGTTATTGTGAATACCTCACATGTCTTCACAGACTCCAGTCAGGTTTTTGCTGTCGAAGCTGTTAACATTAGTGCCACAAGCATGACCCTGACCTGGAAAATCAATGATAATGAGTCATCCTCTGTCTATACCTAGGAGATACAAGTTGCTATGGAGATCAGTTCCCTCATTCTCACCATCAATGAGACTTGTGCTGTCATCACTCCATCACAGTGCATCCTTTCATTGGTGATGGTTCCAAAGGCATGCCAGGCTTTATCCAAGTGTATGCCCATGAGTTCACTCATTGCTTTTCTAACCTTTCTTAGTCACCTTCCATGTACCAGGCCCAGATACAAGAAAAATCTCTGAGCTTATTTTTTTTGCAATTTGATTGCCTTGCACTGTCTCTTTTAATAGTCACAAATCTGTGACATGTTTGGCATTAGCCTTATTTTATGGAGGAGGAAGCCAAGGCTGAGAGAGGTGCTGTAGGCAGGTGTCACACCTGGTAAGTGGCAGAGGTGGAATTAGACAGATAAGCTGTCTTGACTCCAGCCCATGCTTATAGTGACTATTCCAGTGTGGTAGAGACCTAGAGCAAATTAATACATGGAGACAAAAAGAACCTTGATATTCACGTCCCTTTCTCCTTTTAATGCTGACATTATAATGAAGCAGAACATGGCTATATCTCCTCCTTTCTTTGCTTAACTGTCCCTTAAAGATAAGAAGATAGGCAGAAAATAATAAGCTTTCTCTTCCAGAGAAGATCAAATAATTTAAAATAAAACAATAATGGTGCACCAGTAGTATGCTAGATAATAGTATTGGTATCACACTGTGCCAGGAGCTTTACGTGGATTGCAATTGCCTTCGTGGTGGATATTAAGATACCTGTGCAGATGAGAAAACTACAGCCCAGCAGGCTGAACAATTTCCCAAAGACCAAGGGGCAGAGCAGGAACTTGAACCCAGGGGTTCCTGACTCTGGACCCAGGGCTCATCCCACAAAAATGCTTTCCTCAAGTGTCCATTGCTTCCCAGGAAACACACCTTAGTCATCGTTACAGATGTGTTCTGTACTGGCTAATTGGGGTAAACGGAATCTACTAACTTCTTCATTTTTTTACTTTTTTTACTGTTTAATCTCTCTATTAGTTAGGATTAGTTTCAGCTGTAACAAAAATCTCACCAAGTATTCATGGCTTAAACAAGACAGGAGTTTATTTCTCTCTTGTTGTAAAAGAAGCCCAGCATTAGGCAGGATGGGGTGGTCGAGTGTCAGCCAGGGCTCAGTTGCAGGAAACAGAAACTGTGAGCTGCTTTAAGCTGAGTGGGATTTAGTCCTGGGAATCGAGGGTTTATAGACCCATTTGAAGGCTAGTGTATTACTTTGCTCGGGCTGCCATAACAAGTACCACAGGCTGGGAGGCTTAAAAGGCAGAAATTTATTCTCTCACACTTCTGCAAGTAAGAAGACCAAGATCAAGGTGACACAGGGTTGGTTTCTTCTGAGGCCTCTCTCCTTGGCTTGTAGATGGCTGTCTACTCCTTTTGTGCTTGCTTGGTTGTACTTTGGTCTGTGCATGTCTGTGTTCTAATATCCTATTCTTACAAGGACACTCGTCATGTTGGATTAGGGCCCACCTTAATAACCTTATTTTACCTTTATTGCCTCTTTAAAGACCTATCTCCAAATACAGTCACATTCTGAGGTACAGGGTTTAGGACTTCAACACATGAATTTTGAGGGGACACAATTCAACTCACAACAGCTAGAGAGCAGGCTTTAAGGCTGGGACCCAGAAATGACTCCATAATTAAGGGTGCAGAACTCCCCACCTGTGGAGTCACCTGCTTTGTCACCGTCAGCAGCTCTGGCTGTATTTGCTGGCTCCAGGAATGTATGTTGTGAGCTGCAGTCCTGGGGTCAGGAAGTTGCAGCCACCACCACAGCCACAATGTTGGTTCTAGAGCTAGGCAGCCTGAGCTCCAGTCATCACATCCACATTCCAGCTACAGGAACGAGGAAGGGCAGAAGGTAGTGCTCCATGCTTTAAGGATGCTTCCTAGATGTCATGCAGTACATCTGCTCATATGCCATAGAACTTAGCCACATGGCTAAAATAGCTGCAAAGGAGGCTGGGAAATATAGTCTTTATACCCAACAGCCATGTACACAGCTAAAAATCTGGGAGGGTATGACTAATAAAAAGAGGAGGGGAATGGATTTCGGGGGCCAACAGCAGCCTCTACTACTCGTCCCTAAAAGGAGGCTCTGGAAGGTTTAGTAATGTATATAAGACAAAGCAGCCAGCAGCAGCCAGTCCTACTTCAGACTGAGCCCTTGCCTGTGGGGTCTCACGCCTCCTCTCATTTCCTGAGAAGGGCTTTGTACAACCTAAGCACACAGTTTCTGCACTCTTGTAGCCAGGTGTCCTCTCAGTGGCCAGAAATACCAGTTTCTGAGGGGCTGGTGTTGTAGGTGATAATACGAAGAAGACAGAAGGAGAGCTCAGGTGTCCCAAGTGTGCATTTAATCTCAGGGTAAATGTTTTCTGAGGTTCAGTCACCTTTGTCTTCTGGAGAAATAGATTCTTAATCTATTTGTCTACTTTATTCCCTTAGCCCCTGTTCTAGTTCCCAACTTTCGGTGATGTCAGCATGAGGGAGAGTGGCTTAGCTTGGAGCAGCAACAACTCAGATTCCTTTAAGATACTTACCACACGGGGTGGAGCTGGAGCACCTTAGCTGGAAAGAATGACCAACCAGAGTACTGTCATTGGTGGCTTATACCCTGGAATCAAGTATTATTTTGAACTATTGCCACAAGGACCAAATGGAACTGAAGGGGATTCCTAGACATTTTATAGTATAACTGGTAAGCAAATAGGATATTTCTTAAAGAAAATCAGTGTAATTTATAGATGTCAGGATTTCCAAGTATTTCTGTTTATCATATTATCTAAGAAAAATATTTAAAAGAAATTAAAACAGTAATGCATATTTATTGTATAAAATAAAACAAACAAAAAGAAAAAATCACATGTAAACAATCAACCAGAGGTAACCACTGATAAATTTTGGTGTCTAATGTTTTATAATTTTATAATATTTACAGGTGTGTGCATGTGTGTGTGTGTGTGTATATATATATATACATATATGTTGATTGATTGATTTTCTTTTACAAACATTGAAGTCATCCTATACATGCGGTTTTATAATCTGCTTTTTTCCATTTACCAGTTTATTATGAATATTCTTCACTGTCAATATAAATATTTCTGCAGGATAATTTTAGTGCTTGCCTGGCATTCCATTGTCTAAATCAGACGTCAACAGATAATATTGACCCCTGGGCCAAATCTGGCCCACTGCCTGTTTTTATAAATAAAGTTTTATTAGAACACAACCAGGTTTACTTGTTTATATACTGTCTATTGCTTCTTTTGTGCTAGAAATGAGTAGTTGGAACAAAGAATATATAGCCTACACAGTCTAAAATATTTATTCTGTGGCCCTATAGAAAAAGTTTGCTGACCCCTGGCTTAGATCAGTGGTTTCAAAGGGTGATCCAGGGAGCTCTGTGAGTCCCCAAGGTTCTTTCAAGGAGCCTGTGTGGTATTATTATGATAATAACACTAAAATGTTATTTGGCTTTTTCACTCTCTTTCTCTCATCATGGGTGTACAGTAGAGTTTTCCAGATGCTGAAGAACAAGGGATGATATCATCAGTCTGACGGCTAATGGTACATATGCTTGTGTATTCTTTATTCTTTCTTTCAGGTTCAAACATTTTATTGTTGCTAATATAGTTCAGTATTTTATTTTTTATTTTACTGAGGTCATAATAGTTTATAACATTGTGAAATTTCAGTTGTACATTATTATTTGTCAGTCACCATATAAATGTGCCCCTTTACCCATTATGCCCACTCGTAAACCCCCTTCCCCTCTGGTAACCACTAATTTGTTCTCTTAGTCTATGTGTTAGTTTATCTTACACATATGAGTGAAAACATACAGTGTTTGTTTTTCTCTGTCTGGTTTATTTTGCTTAACATAATACCCTCAAGGTCCATCCATGTTGTTGTGAATGGGATGATTTTCTCTTTTTTACGGCTGAGTATTATTCCATTATATTCCTTGTGTATTCTTATGTTTTAACAATTTCCTCATTTCGTATTTCTCCTTCCATAAATATAAGCTACATTAAAAAATCGATGAGAACCTTAAGTATTTTTAAGGAGGTAAAGGGGTCCTGGGACCCAAAAGTTTAAGAATCTCTGGACTGGATGTATTATAAATTATTTAACTGTTCCCCTATTGTTGGACAGGTAGGTTATTTACAATATTTCAAAAACAACATTGTGATGCAATAGTTTTGTTACTTCTATAAGGCTAATTGATATTGATGAACGTATTTCATGAAAATAATTTGGTGTTCATTATGTTTATAAAATTTGAAATACATTTTTTGACAAAACTTGGAAAACATACAGTATTCCTTGATCTTTAATTGCAAGATTGAAATCCTTTATAAGGAGAGGAAGAATAAAAAAATGAGACTGATTCCTTAAGCTGCATTGAAGTCAGTTGGTTTTTTGAGATCCTCGTTCTGTAGGTTTCTTCAACCCTGCTGGTTGAGTTAAGCATTGATAGTTACTTGAAAAGATCTGCTTGCAGAAAAAGGGAACCGCTAAAATGCATCTGTCAGATGAAATGTAGTAATTCCTTTTCAAGTCTGAATTTTAGATTAGACTGTTAAAGCAGGGTCTTAATATTAAAATATATTACTTCTTTCTTTTGGAGACTATTGATAATGATAAGAGGATCCCCTCTGTGGGGGTACTCTTGATATTGTGTGTATTGCCATTGCCTCCAACTAAATGTAATAATAATATAATCTATTGGAGATCTATAATGTGCTGGTCTCTCATCTTATATTTTAAATTTTTTAACACAATTTCATGAGGTAGCTATTGTTAGCATCTCCAGTTTCCAGAGTTGGAAATGGGAGTTCTGCAAGCTTAAGTAACTGGCCCAGTTAGTAAAATGGCCTCTGTCTGACTTTGAAGACCGAGGTCCTAACCACAATGTGGACTGACACTTTGCTATGGCACAGCTGCAAGGTAATTTAGGACTATTCTTGATGAGAAAATATCTTTTGTATTACAGCCTACAGTTTGGTCCCTTTGAATGGAAGTCAAGAAGAGTTGTAATAAGGCACTAGACTCCTAGGGAATACCATTAAATTACTGAACAACATTCATTATTATTGGGGAAGTCAGTGTAACAACATTAAGGGCAAATTTGAAAAAGGGAAACAAATACCATATTACCAAGAAATTCCACTCCTGCGCATAAATATTTCCAAAAGAATTGAAAGGAGGGACTCATACAGTTATCTGTACATCACTGTTGATAGCAGCATTATTCACAATAGAAAACAGATGGAAGCAACCAATTGTCCAGCAATAGATGGATGGAGAGACAAAATGTACTATATTACATACAATGGAACCAATTCAACCATAAAAAGGAATGAAATTCTGATATATGGTACAACATGGATGGGCCTTGAAAAGATCATTCTGAGTGAAATCAGACAGACACAGGAGGACAAACATTGTATGCTTCCACCTATATGAGGAACCTAAGATAAGCAAATTCATAGAGACAGGAGGTAGAACAGAGGTTTCCAGGGGTTAGGGGAGGGAGGAATGGGGAGTTGTTGTTTAATGGGAACAGAGTTTATGTTGGGGGTGATGAAATGGTTTGGGTACAGATAACGGTGATGGTTACATGACATTGTGAATGTACTTAATGCCATGGAGTTGTACACTTACAAATGGTTAAAATGATAAATATTATTATGGATATTTTGCCACATAAGAGGCAAGGGAAACAAAATAACTTCACTCTTCTAACCCAAATAACTTCCTTTTCTGTGTCCACAGTCATATGTTTTGTTTACACCATTGTAACTATTATGAAAATAATTTTATTTTGTATTTCAACTTTTTTTCTCAGTGCATACTATAGCCTCCCCCGTAGTTAGTATGGTCTTCCTATTTTTAGTGGCTGCAGAATATTTCATCATGGAGCCAGATCACAGTTTACACAGCCCTTCTCTTCTTATGTAGTATTTAAGTTATTTGTAGTTTATTTATGTTTACAGAAAGTGGCTGCCTTTCCTGGCTTTTTGTCTGTGGAATCCTTTTGACATCAGGAATCTGGGTGTAGGGGAAGAAGACTCTAGAAGCTACCTCCCTTTTAGGAGATTTCATTTTAAAAGCAAAAATTGATTCTGGAATAGATAGCACATGCATGTAGTATAAAATTAAAAACAAATACAAAAGGTTTTGCAGTGAAAATGTTTCCTTCTTTTGTCCCCCAATGACCCACTTCTTCTCACTGGAAGTGACCTTGGTTACTGGGTCAAGAGACAAAAGTTTTGAAAACAAGGGCAGTAGAGAGACCCTGCATATGTTATTTCTCAGCCTCGATTGTGCATTTGTATTGCAACTGCTTCAGTGTGTCAGGTGAGACGGTCAGATAACAGTCCCCAGGGCACTCATGTGGGTGATTTCTCTTCTGACTCCCAATTCTGGGATCGAAGGGTGTGTGTCTTTTTTCCCTTCCCCCCTCCAATGCTCCCACTTAGTAAATGTCAGCTCCCCATTTCAGTTCTTCTCTCCAGTATGCCTGACCATGTTATAGGAAGATGTTTTCTTTTGAGAAAAGAACATTGATTAAAAACATTTTATTGAGATATAATATACTTACTGTAAAGCACATACATCCTAAGTGTATAGTTTGATGAATTTCGACAAACTCTACTTGTCTGCTCACCAACCCTCAGAACAAGAACTGAACATGATTCCCAGTCCAGAAGACGCCAGGAGGGGGTGTTTTTATGACAAAAGCAAAAGACCAGAGAACTGATACAATGAACTGGAAAGTTCATCTGTGTTACAGAAGAGCCAAAAGTCTTGAAAGAACTGAGCGTGTCTGTTTCTCACCTATGTTTTGGGGTTTGCCCTTTGTGAACTCCTTTGAGAGTTTGATGGTGAAAGAGCAAGTTCTTTTGACAGACAGATTGAAATAAAGCTGGATGTTATGACGGTCATGAACAGACTTCCTTTTCTCCTCATTTCTTCTGACCAGCCCCCAGTGCAGTATTTGATATCTGCGTGATCTGCGTCACCATGACCGAAATGGTGTTGGAGTGGCAGAATACGGACAGTACTTCTGAGTACACCTACCATCTATTCATACCATCTGAGCATGGCTCTAATAAGACAAACAGTTTGCACAGAGCAGTCACTCTCTGGGGCCTGATCCCAGGCACCTTATAAAACATCACTATCTCTCCAGAAGTGAACCATGTTCGTGGGATCTACAGCTTCACCAAACACTACACACGTAAGTGTCTTAGGATGCCCACCTAAGGGAGTAGTCTCCCTGACTTTCACTTGGAGGGTGAGAACTAAGCATTGGTTAGATGATGCGGTCAGAGCCCATGGTGTTTCTGGGCTCCAGGTAGAATGTGAAACTGCTTAAGCTGAAAACATCAGCCTCAGCAAACGTCCTGCCGTTTTCATGGGGCACTGGTGCTGAGCCACGTGAACTTGGAATTGTCTTGAGAAGCAGGAAGTGATCCCATAAGTCATGGAGAACCTAACCTTGCATTCATTCCTTGGGAATCTAGACCAGAGGAGGTCACCTTGTCATGTTGGCGTCGGAAGATACTGCTCAAATGAGGAGCTCTGCATGCAACAGGGGAGGGGGTGTTTTGCTCATATGTGATCTAAATATGTGGTAGGGATGGTAGTTTATAGTTTCTTTTTAGTATATTTTTCCCTTTCATTAATCAGATTTGAAAAACAAACAGGAAACTATATCTTGAAAATATATTTCAGGTAAACTCAAAATGTGAAAATAAGCCTGAAAAACTTTAATTCCTTTGAGATTTAACCTGTATAGTTATTTTCTGAATGTCTTCTTGGGAAGACTTCCATCTTTTGAGCCAACAAATATTAGCTTTATTCATTCATTTCCCAAAAGACTCAGGCTCTTTTTAGATGCAATAAATAAAAAAGTTCTGGGATTCGAGCTAATCCATGCTTTATTTTATTTTGTTTTATTTTAAATCAAGGGCCCAGCACTGTGTCTAACATTGAAATAAGTACCAACACCATAGCAGTAACATTAAATTGACAGAACTTTGAGGAAGCCTCTCCCAGGTACACCTACCGCCTTCTTATTGGGAAGGATGGAAATTCCAGCCACGCAACAGTCACAGTCATTGGCGTCACTTATGTAACTGTCACTGGATTAATACCTGGCTCATCATACACAGTAGAGATCTTCACACAAGTGGGGAATGTCACCGAGTCACTGGTACCTGGCTGGCAGTCATTTTGTATAGGTAAGTAGCCCCAGGTGCTTCTTGGACTCCTTCCTGTGTGGTGCTTACCTTGCAGGCTGGTCCTCCACAATCCTTAGTATATCAGGTTTTGTGTGGTGTGCAAAAATGGACACTGAGCTCTCTGAGACCTCCTGTTAGCTTATTAGTGCTATCTTGTTGCCCTCATTATTTATTCATTCGACAAATATTTATTGAGCACCTCTTGAATACCAGGCACTGGCAAATGACACAGACAAGTCCCTGCCTTCCGGGGACTTTTATTCTGGTGGGGAAGACAGAAAAAACAAGGTGAATAAATTATCAGGTGATGATTATTGCTAGAGAGAGGCCAAGAAAGACAAGGAAGGGAGAATGAGATGTTTACCTAGGGTGTCCAGGGAAGGCCTCAAAGAAAAGGTGACTTTTGAGCCAAGACTTGAAGGAAGTAAAAAAACCAGCCATGTGGATGTCAGGGTGAAGAGTGTTACAGGCAGAGGTGCAGCCGGTGCAAAGGCCCTGAGGCTGGAGAGTGCCTGCTGTGTTGAGGGCAGAGCAGGAGGCCAGGATGGCAGGAGTGGATCTATGGGAACAAGAGGGCGAGGGGTAGGTGGTGAGAACCAGGAGGTAATGAGTTAGGGCATGGATGACTTCCAGGCTTGTAGTTCATAGTTTGGCTTTTACACTGAAGAAGGTGGGAAGGATATTGTTAAAATGGATGCTCAGCCTTTTCACCTTTCTTGATCCTTATTTCTCAAAGCGAAAAGTGTGATAAAGAGAAGAGCCCTGGGTTTAACTGAGGACTTTCAGAAAGGAACCCAGGGAATGTCTGCAGAGTTGTGAGGACTTCTGCTTGCAGTTCTGACTGTGGCGCCTTTGTCACTGTGATGCCCCTGTATCACCTTATTCTCTATCCTCTTTTCAGCTACATCTTCCCTTCCTTAGACCAAGCTATTCGAGTGTGTTCAGACTGATTTAGAGGGGGGTGTAGTCTCATTGGATCAGCCTCCCTGGTCATGTAGGAACCTTGATGACCCTCTGACCTTTCACGTGGAGTGGCTAAAGAAATCCCTGAAGCTTTGAGTCACCTCTGCTGCCTCAGGCTCCAGCCACCTGGTCTAGACTCTGATCTTTGGTATTTGGGTGGCTTCCATTGCTGATACTTTTCTTAGCCATAATTATGGCAGCCTGTAACAGGAGAAAAACATATGTGAGCATTTATGACTAGTGGAGGAGGGAACAGCAGCTGTGGGAGAAGGTATGAACTGGGGAGGCTACCTTTCCAGGCCTCCGGTAGAGAGTGTGGAGAGGCACTACGTGACTTATTAGTGCTTTTTCTGCTCTAAAATTTGGCAACATTAAAGTAATGACATTATTCTCCCCCAGGATATTAAAACAGATTTTTCCATTTATGTCCGTTTGATGTTGGCCCTCAATAAAACTCTATTGATCTTCAAGCAGAAACAAATAACACCCCATTTTAAAGATGAGGAAACTGATGCCATTTACCATTGATCATTCAGCATGTTGTGTGTATAGAAAATTCCCTGGACTGGGATTTAGAAAACCTGGGATCCAATTTTTGCTTTTCACTTACCAGCCATGTCACATCTTTAGCAAATTACTTTACATCTCTAGGCCTCAGTTGATTCATCTGCAAAATGGGACAGTAGTAACCCTACCTGTTGCAGAAGGATTTTCAAGAGGGCCGCAAAATGAGATGACACAGGTGAAGAAGTTGCTACCACCCATGGTATGATATACCTACCTCTCCTGGAGCCCTGTTCTCTTCCAGCTCAGTGACTGACAACCACTGTTTCATTTAATCCTCAAACAGGCCTGAGCTGAGGCTCAGAACAGTTGGGTGACTGATCCAAGTTCACCCAGTTCAGTAATACCCGATTCAGGGTCAGCCTCTGCCTCTTCTCCCATACCACAGGACTCCCCCCTCACAAATGGGCCAGAATTCTACTGCCCTACACGTGTCGGTGTTTGCAAAGACAGACGTCCCAGAGTCTCATGATGTGCTGTGCTTGCTTTGCAGATCCTGCACCAGTAGCCTCCTTCCACTATGAGGTCGTCCCCAAAGAGCCGACCTTGGTTCTCAAGTGGGCCTGACCTTCCTGCACCAATGCAGGCTTCAGGCTGGAGATCAGCTATGAGGCCTGGCAAAATCTGACATACCTGGAGAGCTGCTCGGAGAACAGCACTGAGTACAGGATGGAAGTCACATATTTGAATTTTTCTACCTTATACGTCAGCATCACTGCCTTGTCCTGTAATAAGACAGCACTCGCCACCCAAAACACCTGCCTCACTGGCATCACAGGTGGCCTTTGTGACAACAGGGTGGCCAGGTGGCATTTTCATCACCCCTAGAGAGGCTGACCCAGTGGGTCTGCAAGTGTGGCCTAGAAATCTGTTGTGTTCTTTTTTTTAAATTTCTAAAATATTTTTGTTGGCATAGACTGTTAACCTGGTTCTTTAGAAATCTAGTCTACAAAAGCAGAATAAGAGGGAATGATGTTTTACATTACACAAGTTTGCTTTGCTTAACAGAATAATTCATTGTCACATTTTCTTTTAAGTAGTGAGTTCCCTTACTGCATTAAAAAGAAGCATTTTTATGGAAATATTCAAATATACACAAAAGTAGAGGACAGTAGAAAGAAACCCACATGCCCATCACCACCCACTTGAACATTTGTCAGCACTTGACGAATTTTGTTACGTTTATGTCTCCTGCTCCCTTAATGGATTGCTTTGAGGCCAGTCCTAGTCATTCTGTAATTTTATGTGTAAATATTTCTGCATGTGTTGCTGCAAGATAGGGACTCCTTTTCTCTTTCTTTCAGACATTACCCCGTTACTATTATCATCACACTTAAAAACATAACAATCCTTTTTTTCACTATTATCAGATATTCAGTCAAGATTCCTATTTCCCTATTTACAACTCCCTAAGACAGAATCTGTATTTACAAGTCCCCCAGTGGTTTTGGGAAACAGGGGATCACTTATTGCACAGGGGTTCCCCATAGTTAATCTTCATGCACATATTTATTTTTTTTGGTACTTTGAAAAAATTGCTTCTTACATCTTTGCTTCATGTTTGTCCGTCTTTTGCTCCCCATGTCCTGCCAAAGTTGTGTCTTAGATCAACCTGGTTGAGTTGGTTTTGCTTTGTGCTTTTTGACTCCTAGGTTTGTTTCCTTTAGAGTATCAGAATGTTTCCAGACAATTCCTAAAGAATTAGTAGTTGTAATAGCGAGAAAAAAAGGCCTCTCACTTCAGAGACACTGACGTGGAAAGTGGTGGAGGGGTTCTGTGGACAGAGCCTCAGATTTAGGCTGACTAGAGTTTGATTCTAAGATCTGCCTTTTACCATCTGTGCGATCTCAGAAAAGTTGCTTAATCTCTCTAGGCCTTGTTTTCCTTAGTTGTAAAAGAGGAAACGATACCTCCCTTCTAGGAATGTTGTAAACATTAGATGAGGTAATGTGTGTGGAAGGCCACTGCAGAGCTGCCATATATGGCCGCTCAGGTGATGCACTGCACAATTCCAGGCGACACCATCATACGGACTACGATGTGCTTGAAGCTTCGTGGAGTGTGTAGTACACAGTTGCACAGGATGGCCCTGAGTCACACTCCTTTGGTTTCTGCAGCACTCTACAACATGATAGAGTCAGTGACCCTTATGGGTACTTTTTTGTAGTTCTCTGCTGCATGCTGTCATCTCCTCAGTGGGTGTAAGCCACTGAGGAACAGAAACCGTGTCTGATTTGGTGTCTCAGGGCTGCGCACAGGGAGTGGTGAAGAGGACCAGCTCCTCAGAATTCGTCATTCCTGAAGCTGAACCATGGGTGGGAGGGATGGATAATGCCCACTTCTCATCTAGTCCAGTGATTGTCTCACTCTGTGATCTGTAGCTGCTTTTTCTCAGGTGGATTTTTATGTACTATTTTAACATGATTGTTTAATGTACAAATTTAACACGTTTTTAATTTAACATAAAACTAGAACTGCATTTTCTCTGAGAGGGGTAGGAAGCATTGGCGGGTAGGTCAATCTGAGAGAGTTGGAATGATGGTCTTTTAGTCAACATCTGTTGGCTGCTTACTGTGAGCTGGGTGGTGGGGGACGGTGGTAAGGGACACCATGCACTTGGCAGAGAGGCCCCTGGAGCTTAGGGGCTGCTGGGAACTGTGTTAGGAAGTCTTTGGGGAGGACATTGACAGACATGGGGACAGCGCCTCCAAGTGGCCACCGCTGTCAGTTACATGAGAGGTTGCCGAAGCAGGTTTAGAGCTGTGCCGTCCAATAGAAAATAATATAAGCCTCATGTATAATTTAAAATTTTCTAGAAGCCACATTAAGTAAACATGAAAATCACAGCTTAAATTAGTTTCAATCACATTTTATTTAACTTAGTACATTAAAAATGTTATTTCATGCAATCTGTATAAAGGAAGTTATTAATGAAATATTCTACATTCTTTTTTCACACTGTCTTTGACATCCAGTCTCTATCTCACACGTATAGCACATCTGAATTTGTACTAGTCACGCTTCAAGTGCTCCACAGCTGCGTGCGGCTGGTGGCTGCCATATTGGACAGCACAAGTTTGGAGAATTGTGCTGTGGTTCTTTTGGAGTTCAGTTTTCTCAGTCTCCCTGATCTTGAGTATAATAAGAAATCACCTCAACTGCATGTGGGAGACAAATTTAGGTAGAGAGAGAGTGTGTGGAGAGGGATCATCTTTAATTCAGTGTTTTCTTCCTTTTTGTGTTAATTCAGAGAGCGGATTCACAAGCCTAGCTTGGAAAGGTGAAGTACCTCATCATGAAGGTCACCCACGGAATGCTCCTGTGTGGGCTTTTCTGGTGTCTAGGAAGAGGGTTGGTTGGGTTTCTCCAGGTGCTGTTTTAAACCAACTGCAGCAAAAGTAAGGACTTTGGTGTGAAGGACGTGGAGCAGGAATGCAGCCAGGTCTCAGGAGGAAGTGTGTTCTGTCTATGTCGTCTCTGCCCCATCATTGTTCTCAGCTGACCGACCAATCTGGTGCCAAGTCGGGTGCTGGGCAGATGTCTGTGTACAGCTCCCAAGTCCCCACTTTAGAGTTCCACCCACAAAGTCTCTCTCTCACTTTCTTTCTTCTCCAGTTCTCAGGATAAGGATCCCGGCCCTCTGGTTTCACCTGTGTCGGGTGGAGCCGGAGCAAGATAGAAAAGGCAGGTTATCTTCAACCACTAAGGTTGCAGGGAACTTGTCCTCAGGGACGTGTCTGCCACACTGAAGGGGCCTTTGTGAGCTAGGCAGGCTCCCCTAGAGATCTACCCTCTCTGCACTCCACCACTTCCTTTTCCTGCCCCTTGCTTCTGGACTTACTTTGCATGAACCCAGCATACAGCTTCCTGATCAAGGTCAGATCCTGCGGAAGGCACTGCAGCAAATTCTTTCCTTAGTAATTTTGTCCCTTTGGTTTGAAATGTTGGGTGATCACGTTTTGTTTTGTTCTGTTTCAGACCCATTTCTCCAAATGGATCCCCTAATGTTACCAGCTCTTAGTTAATATCAGCCCTGGTATTGGTTCCCCTCCAGTGAACCTGGCACGTATGGGATTAAGACTAAAAACCTGCAATCCTAGTTCCCTGGGTCTTTAGTAACACTCATGTGTAAATATTTGTTTCTTTAACCTCTGACCCCTTGAGCTTTACAACTAAATAGAAGTTACAAATTTCTAAAGTCCAGATGGCCTCAAACTGGGCTCCCACTAAAGTTGAAGCTAATCCCAGGACCTTGAAGTTCCTTTACAGCGAAACTAATATCCAGAGAATATCAAGAAACTGAAGCTTCCTATGCCCAACTCCTTGGCTTCCTGATTTCAGAATTTGCTAGTATCATAACCTGTGGCAAAATTTCACAAGTGATGTTTAGATATCTCTCTCTGTCTTTTTGTTTTGGTTCTGTTTCAAACCCAGTTATTTTGCTGTGAAGGTTTTCAGAAAATCCCAAGCTCAGACCTTTGTTGGATGAGGGAGGCATTATTGCTTAGTGCCCAAATTGACCAATACCAGCCTGTGGTCACTGAGAGCACACACTCCCAGTCCGATGAACTGGGCTAAAATTGTGGCTCTACCACATAGGAAGTGTGGCCTGGAGACCTTTTAGCTTTCTGTGCCTTCATTTTGTCATCTGTAAAATGGGGATAGTAAACCTATGTGTTGAGATTATTATTGGGTTTAAATGAGCTGATGTCAGTAAAGCACTTAGAACCTAATATCAGTAAATCTTGGCATGGAGAGCATCCTTGAGAGGTGGTACCTATCATCGTCATCCAGTGTCAACATCATTATTTAGGTGCATGGGAGGCTTACGTCTTTGCTATCACTTTCTGATGACTTTCCTCCTGTGTGCCTTTCTTAGCTGTTTACCTATCTGTCTGCAGATGTTTTGAGATATACGTATGAAGATTTCAAAAAGGGCACCTCAGACACCAGTGTGACATACCTGATAACAATAGAAGGAAAGCGACATTCTCAGGGCTTGTCTGAAGTCTTGAAATATGAAGTTCATTTTGGAAATGAGTCAACCACACACAGCTATTACAACGGGAAGCTGGAACCCCTGGGCTCCTATCGGTAATGGCTCCTGGTTCTTGGTCTTTTGTGGTTGAGCCTTCTGCATGCAGAGCTTTACATGCCTGAGGCATTGGACACATCTGACCCACCTCTTTTTCCTCTTGTCATCCCACAGGGCTTGTGTGGCCAGCTTCACCAATGTTACCTTTAACCCTCCCAATGACAGCCTCATAGATAGGGCCAAGATCTACATGTCCTTCGGTCACTCTTCAGATGCTGTTTTCTTGGCCCAGGATCCAGGTAGAGGAAGAACCACAGTGCTGTTAGCAGTTCCGTAGGTTTTTGCTTCCAGTGTCCACAGAAGGCCGGGTGTCTGCACTCTGGCCCCTGGGAAGGTTTGAGAGCCTCATCTCTCCTCTCAGAGGCTGAGATATCA